GCAACAGGCTGAAGGCCGCTTAGGCAAACGCGAATTGCGACATGAGGCTCAGAGGCAGCACTTGAGATGATGGATTCGGAAGATGCAATAGGACAACGGCTTGCTTCTGCCATAGGGGCCTGGCCCCGCAATGGATACTAGCGTAGAAAGGGCTTGGACAGCTGTAGGCTAGAGGCTTCCAGATGATGAGCGCGCGCTCTGCCTACACCTTAGGGAGGTCCAGATTACTTTAGAGCTAGCACGAGCACGCTCGCGTGACCGTGCGCTGACTGAGGGGTACCACGGCAAGTATTGCCTTGAGGCGAGACGTAGAGAAAAGGTGGGGCGTGTGTCTAGGTCAAGTTTCTATGTGTCGCCTGGCTAGCTGGGTTCCACAGGAGTCGGCCTCAGGCCTGGCAGGAGGGCTCTGATACCGCACTCTACCTCCTGCGTCTTAACTGAGGACGCAGGTATCCTGCAAGGCGAAAGCCAGGGGAGACACGGTCAGAGAGAGAAGCCCATGATGCACAGACACTCTGCACGATCCAACTTGCATCCACCAACAAGCTGGCGAAGCAGCTGTCTGGTCAGGCAACGAGGAGGCGGATCCGAGGACACGTGTCATGGAAGAAGGACGAGGACGTGCACAGGGCCGAGATAGAGGAGAGACTCGCATGGACGATAGGGGATAGGTTACAATGAGCACAGAGACGGACGCAGAGGGAGAGGGCCTAGAGACTGCACGAGGAGGACACTGGGACGAGGATCTGTACGCGGAAGCTCAATAAGGGCGTGGAGAACGAGGACAAGGAGTCTTAGAAGGGGTACGGGAGTATGAGTCAGGAGAGATGGATATGATGAAAATAAAGAGAGGAGATTCGAGCGCCGGCAGGCGAGAGAATGCTGGAGATGAAGGGTGAGCAAGGTGTGAGCTGATCATGAGCGCGCGACGATGAAGAGTACGTAAGAGTAGAGAGAGAGGGGGATAAGGGAAGAAGCATGGGACAGAGAAGAGAGAGAGTGCTGGAGAACGCCAAGATGAGTCACTGGTGGAAGACGCTCGATGGCAGAGAGGGATGATCATGGTAGAGGCAGTGATTGGCAGGGAGCAACACATGGAGCGATGGGGAGAGAAGAAGGAGGAGCGGCAGCAGGCAGCTAGAGAGTTGGCGGGGTACGTCGGCCTAGGGCTGACCATCACAGTGATGGAGACGGAACTCCACCGCGATACCTTTTACATGAGCAACGCGGGCCTGACTCCTTCGCAATGTATAGCTGGCTTCTTTCTCTCTTGTGCATGTGACATTATAGCTCCTTTCTTCTTGTATGTCGTCTTGCCACGTGGTGCCGTTTGATCTCCAGCGCTTCGACACCACCGGCTCATGGTTCTTACCTGACCAGGGGTGGCTGGATGTCTGACTCGTCACCTGTAGAGACTCTCCACACCTCAAATGGCACTCATTCTATAACCATTCCCGCGCACGCTGGATGGTCAATTTAATTTATACAGATCAAGGGTCCATAAGGGATCACTGAAACGGGAACAGAACATGGCCTAGACTTGCCTCTTCTCGTCAAGCACTGGGATTACAGCCGTGCACCACAATGCCTGACTCTCTCCCCTTCTTTATCTTATCATTTTCAATTGCTTTATTGAGGTAGAATTCACACACCCTCCACCCTGTCCACTGAGGTTGGCTTTAGTTATTTGCAAATAAATAAACCTGCCCTATATACTTGCTTCCCTTCCCCCAAGAAGCCAGGTGCCATTTCTTGGCCACACTATCAGACCTGTGTTGTATGTAAATGTGCACCAAGCCACCTTTCCAATTACAGAGCAAAAATAGTCATGGTGTGTAGATAAGGCAGAGAAATCTCACATCCAAGGCAGATTTGTATCTCGGTTTCAAGCTGAGTGGAGAAAAACACTGAACCAGCCACAGGTGTGTGACAGGGCGAGATGAGAATGTTTTCACGTGCTGGCTTGGCCAGAAGCCCAAAGGCCGTCCACTGCCCCTGACTTGGTGCAGTGAATGATGGTTCTTCTTCTTCCCGTACCCCAAGGTATCTTGGTAGCAAGGACTGAGAGACTTTCAGTCACTCTGAATTGCTGTCAGGTGTCAAGATTACAGCTGGAATGAGTCATCAACAAGCTCTTGACCACGAAGACAGCGAGAATTCCAAGACTTGAGTGTGCCCGAATTCTCCCTCTTCCTGCATTATAATTTGGAGCCTGGGGAAAATTCCTTGTGCCTGGCTGGACTCATTTCCTCATCAGGAGGATGAGTCTGCTCAACTGGACATAGAGTAAAATAAAATCCACCCCCCCAGGGGCCCACTGGAGCCAGAGGTGCCCCTGTTCTACATTCTTGTGTGTCCTTCCAGGTATTCAGCCAACAAGTATTTTTTAGCTCTTCCTGTACCTGGCACTATTACAGACACACGTGACACAATGACAAACAAGAGACAAAATCCCTGTCCTCTAAGCCAATGTGCTCTGGCCTGACAGCCCACATTCTCATTCTTAGGAATATCCAACATGTGCATAACGCCCTTCTTAAACCCTTTTGAAGCCCAATGTAGCATACCACTCTTCTACACCTCATTTTTTTTTCCTGGTTCTCTAGGAAATGGTTCCAAGATGACATGCATGCCCGATCTTGTCTCCACCTTCCCAATGTTCTGAAGTATTTATTTCCTCATTCCCCAGTCACTGGGCACTAAGGTTGTTTCCAGTCTTTTCCTAATATCTCATCTCACAGATGGGAGGGAATCTGTAAGACAAAATGCCAATGGAGAAGAGCTGGGAAAAAAATGCCTCTTTTGGTTTTTAGCCCAAAATAATAAGAGACCCACATAAAATAAAAGCAGTAGAGCGCTTGATCCCCATCACGGCACAGAAAGAAAGAGAGGAAGAAAGTCAAAGCCAGTCCTGTCCCCGTCCCCATGCTCTGCAGAAGTCATAGTGTGGTGATGATGTTCCTTCTTCCATCTCTGTGCTTTTCTCGTTCTCAATCCCCAGCACCTCTCTAGTTCCCATGAATCCCTTTTCTCCTTCTCTTTTATCTTTTGCACAGAGACAGTGACTTGCCCAAGGCCTGGGCATCTTTCCAACTCCGCCTCCTTCCTCTGTGTGGCTGCAAAACACTCCCAGGGGCGGCAGAATGGAACAGACTTGTCCGGTCCTGGCTGTTGGACATCTAGGCTGTTTCTCTTCTCTCATTTGCAATCAGGGTCCTTCTGTCTGCACTGCCACCCTGACCCCAGGTATTTTTGCCCATACTCCCTGAAGGATATCTCCAGAGAGCAGTCTCTGGTATCTTCCGGCTGATCATCATGGCTACCTGGTTGCTGGTGTACTACTGGACCCCAGTCATGTTACTCCAGGGCCTCCCCTCCTTCCTCCATGCCTACAGTGGGCACTGCCAGGCTGTGAGTCTAACCAGATGCTCCTCTCTCTGAGCCTCCACAAGGCCACACCAAGGTCCCGGATGCTGTGTGCAGGCATGCCCGCTGGGCTAGGGAGAGTCACGCCTGTGTGTCCCACCCCACAGCGCTCTGGAGACGCGGCTGCAGGTCCTGGAGACACAGCAGCAGAAGGAGCTGGCCAGCCTCCGAGACCAGAAGGAGCGGCTGAGGAGCATGCTGGGCCGCCAAAATGAGGCCCTCGCCAGCCTGCAGCGCAGCCTCCATGCATTGGGCAGCAACTCCAGCCTCCTGCAGCACCACCAGCATCAGCTGGTGAAGTTCGTGCAGAACCTGGTGCAAGCAGTGGCCCAGGGCCAGGGGCCAGGTGAGCCAGTGGGGTGCGCCTGGGCAGGGTAGGAGGGCAGAAGGCGGAAGAGACCCTGCTTACCCTCCTGGGTCACTCTGGGGCTGGGCCAAAAGGCCCCACCCTCTGGGACCATCTGTAAAATAGAAACAACAGTCCTGAAAGAAGCCAATCCCAACTCCACCCCAACTCCATGGGTGACCTGGGATATGCCTCGCACTTGTGGCCTGTTTCCCCTTCTGTCCAGTGAAGGTGAGGATAACAGAAAGGTCACCAACAGGCCAGATTGACAAGTGTGGGTTCCAGGGCACACCCTAAAGCCCCGCTTGCTTGAGTTGCCCAATCCCTCCCTGGGCCTCAGTTTCCCCATAGACTGGGGAGTTTGGACACAACACACTCCAAGGACTTCTCTCCTCCTACTGCCCCCATCCCTGAACCCACAGGGCAGCACAAAAGGGAGGCAGCACTGGCTTGCAGTGAGAGAGGAGAACCAGGCCTGGGCTTGTGCCTCAGCACACTGGTTCCCAGCAGGGCTAGCACGGGTGACCAGGGCGATGCCAGGCCCAGCTTGGGCACACATTTGAGCCTCCACTATGTGGTACGGGGGGACCGCAGTGCACAGCATAGCCCTGTCTCTGGGGGTCTCAGAGAAAGAAGGAAATAATGCTTCTTCACTGAGCGTCTCCTTTCTGCTAGCAGTGTTTCTGAAGCTTCCACCACAGCAGGCCTAAGGGGCTGTGCGGAGGAGCCTGAGTCCAGGAGGAGCACAGGAGGGATTTAGACAGGAGGAGGCTCCCTTTAGGAAGCCCAGACCTGGGCCCTGGAGTGCAGAATGGCTTGGAGAGAGAGGCCAAGGAGGAGGCTCTCCTGAAGTAAGCCATCCTTGGGGAGGCTGGCGTGCCTTTAAGGGCAAGGAATCGAGAGACAGAGATAGGGTTCCAGGCACCACAGCCGATAGGGATGTGGAGCAGATGATCCCTCTGTAGTTCCACCCTAAGTCCACAGCCCAAGGAAACCACAGGCAGGAGAGGTGGGCGCCTTCCAAACCGTAAGATGTGGAGGGACCAGAGCCCGTTACGGGCTTGTGCATAGCCCTGGCAACAAGGCTGCCTGAATGAATCCCATGTGTGCATTTCTCGTAGCTCAGCCCAAGGCCCAGAGCCTGGGTGACGCCTTTTCCTGAGGCTACCACTCACCAGTCTCCAGCTGGGGACCAGTGTCTGCTCCCTAGACTGGTGGGAGGTTGTGTCAGGTCCCTCACCTTGGGCACCACTTGCCCCACTGTCATCAGGGAAGGACACCAAGGAGTTGCTTTTGCCCTCTGTCTAGATGGAGAAACAGGAAGAGGGGATCCAGCATCTGGCAAAGGGCCGGACGGAGGCAGGGCACAGAAACCAGGTATCAGTGAAGCCTGGCAGGAAGGGAGTATGGCCCCTCTGCGTAGCTTTGTCCTGGGCAGGTGGAGGGAGAAGAGGAAAGTATCCTATGCGTCAGGCACCAGGAGTCTGGTTCAGAGGTCAGAAGGACAGACACAGGTAGATAGACTTGGCTGTGTAACAGCAGTGTCCATCAGCTGTCTGTTTGCCCAGCTTGACCTGGGTTTAGGGATGGAGACCGAGGAGAGGCATAGTAGAAGGGCACTGGCTTGGCAGTTGGATGGATCAGAGTTTAAGCCCCAGCTCCTTCGCTTACCTGCACTGGGGCTTTGCATAAATCCTTTAACTTGTCAGAACCTTCATTTTCCTCACCTACAAAAGGCACAGAGAATGGATGAGGCCATGCACACAAAGGCTTTCAGCACAGTGCCTAGAGCCAAAATAGGGCAAAACTGGCACAAATTACCAACCAGAAGTCCCAGGAGCCCAGGCTGGGGTCAGACTATGATGTAGAGACTCACCTGTCAATCCTGGCACCTCAGAAACACAATACAATAGTGGTGAGTACTTCACTCTTGTTGTTACTGCCATTTTTGTTGACTAAGGAAACTGTCAGTGGACAGAGCCTTGGAAGGGGTGACTGGAAACCCCCTGCTGGCTCCAAGCTCTGCCTTGTCTTGCAGAGCATAAAGCCTATCCCACCTGGTCATTAGGCCAGCACCTTCCCAATGGATCATGGACAGCTGGGGGCTGCTGACAGGTGGGCAGTAGAGACCCTTACCCAGGAAATGTCAGCCACAGCATAGGGTTGATTTGGGGCCATGGTCACTTCGTTTCTTTCAGAAATATCCCCTAGATCTGGAATCTGGGAGCCACAGTCCAGGTATGAGTCCAAAACAGGAAGTCCCGCCCCCTGGCAGTCTCCTGATTTCTCACTGGTTGTTGATACCCATCCATCTGGAAATTACCCCATCTCAGGGTGTCTGCCTGAGCAGAGATTGGGTTCTGGTGGGACCACAGCCCAAACCTAATTGGATCCTGCTGAGAGAGAGAGAGAGAGAGAGAGAGAGAGGAGAGAGAGGCGAGAGAGAGGAGAGAGCGAGAGAGAGAGAGGAGAGAGAGACGTTCATATGTCAACAGACACTTTGTCCAGGCCAGACTTGAGGGGCCCATCGGGCTACGGGGGGTTCTCCTGATATCAGAAACAGAGAAACAGTCCAGAGGGAATAAACATGGGCCCTTGATAGCTAGTGGTCAGCTCTCCCAGGGAGGGAGGGTGGGGGGCCTCTGCCTGGGGCTGCAGGGTAATCTCAGGTCCCCACCCAAGGAAGCTCCAAGAAGAGAAAGCTCTGCCCACCTGGCTGGGGGCCCTTGAGCCAACCCCGTCACCCTGAGGGCTTCAGTTGCCTGGTCTGGGAGATGGGACAGACCTCATTGGAGATGCAGTGAGTCTCCTCCCTCCAGCCCACTCCACTCTGGCTGGAGTGCTCTTTCTCTGCACAGCAGTCTGCTGGCCCTGCCGAAACTCAGCCTCCTCTTTGTCCTCTTCCTCCCCTGCCCTCTCTGTGCTAGCCGTGCCCTACCCTCCAACAGCAGAACTCTCAGTTTGTGGCCATTTCTGCCCTCCATCTGTCCACTGCACACACCAAGACCATCCCACCTAGGGGGCATCACATATTCTGTTCCCTCTGCCTGGAAGGCCCTCCCCTTCTCCACCTGGGCAACCCCTGCAATTGTTCAGCCCCAGGTCTGCTTTGTCTCCCTGTCTCTACAGCTCCCCACCCACGGCCTGCATGGAGCGGGCAGGCATGCCCACCTGGTCCCTCCCATCTCCTGGCTCACCTTCAGCTGACGTCTGCTTTGTCCCATTGCAGCCTCCATGATGACAGCCGAGCAGGTGTTCCAGGACTGTGCAGAGATCCAGCGCTCCGGGGCCAATGTCAGCGGCGTCTACACCATCCATGTGGCCAATATGACCCAGCCCAAGAAGGTTAGGGGCTCCCAGAACTGAAGCTGTCAGAGGTGCCCAGCTAAGGGTTTCCCAGATAGATCCACTGACAGCACCAGGCTGTGTCCACCACCTGAGATGCCAGTGGAGGGGAGATGCCCTGCCTCCCAGACCCCCAGCCAGGCAGGGAAGTTCCCAAAGCTGGAGGCACATCCATTGCCACATCTTCTCCAGATGCTCCTAGTTGGAATAGAAAGAAATAGTTCTGTGTTGGTAGAGGGCCATGCTAGCTGGTATCGCAGACAGCCCCCAAACTCCAGGGGTTATCTTTGCATGAGCAGTTTATTTCTAAGTTACATACAGTTTGATTGAGGTCAGGATGAGGCTCTTCTCCACGTGGGAATTAGCAACTGGGGTGATGGACAGTGGTGGACCATTGCCCTCGGTCAGTGGCTCCCTGTTGCTCTGAGCTGGACAGTCCAGACATGAGGCAAACGGCAGGAGGGAGGTTTGGGGCAGGCCCAGAGGGAAGGCTGTGAGGACATCCAGCTGGGCATCCCACTTCAAATTCCCTTTGCAGTTTCCTTTCTCTCCTTCTGAGTGTGCCAGGAAGAGTGGCACCTTTTCCCTCACACACCTGCCAACTCCCCTTCTAAAAAAAGAGATCAATCCTGGGACCCTGGGTTGGCAACATTTTCTGGCTAGAATTTCATGTTATTTTTTCATTCTATTTAGCTTTACAATCATCCGGACAAAGGTGAAGGTTGCTAGTTTTTCATGTATGGTGTGGGTAGGATTTCCTTTTCAAATGCATTTAATCTGTGTATTTAAGTATTTTTTTAAAGGATGCCATTTTAAAGTAAAATGAAAACACTCAGCCATGGTGAGATGTGGGCAGGTGTGAATGGCTGGGATTTGGGAACAGTGGTGCAGAGGCAAGAGACCCAGGCTCAGACCTCAGCTTTAATATTGCCTTGCTTTTCTCTCTCCAAGCCTAAGTTTTCCTCTGTGTATTCTCTCTTACCCTCACTAAAAGGTACCCTGCATTCTCCCTCAGTGGGCACTTTCCATCTCAGAGTCCCTGTTCCTGTCATGCCCTCTCTTGGAAATGCCATTCCACTTGTCTCTACCTGGCAGACACATCTTCATTTGATGCTTTGTTCTGAAACCACTTCCTCCAGGAAGCCTTCCAGGGCTGCCCAGTTATTCCTTCCTGGAGCTCCCCAAATATTCACAAGCAAAAGTCTGCCTGCCCTAGCATAGCCTCCTCCAGACCAAACCAGCCCTAAGGGATGACTTATCTCTGATTCATCAGTGATTCATCCAGGGCCAGACGCCAAGTCTGTATTTATTGAACATTGAACATGTACTGAACTGGCTAGTAAAATAACATGAACAAAAGTTAGGCTGAAAGTAAGCTCTTTGAGAGAAAGGATTTTTTTTTTATCCTATCCGTATCAGCATCTCCAGTGCCTTGAACAGAACTTAACACATAGTTGGTGCTCAGAAAACATCTGCCCACTGACTCACAGCACCACTGGCGTTTTCTGAGTCTACACTGTGGATAAGCACTTTATGCTTGTCTTGTTTTAAATACACACAACCACAGGCTTGTGTGTTGAATGTGTGGTCCCCAGCCGGTGGCACTATTTTGGGAGGTGGTGGGTACTTTGGGAGGTGGGGCCTGGCTGGAGGAAGGAGGTCACTGGAGGGGGTGAGTGTGCCTTTGAAGGTTATACCTGGAGCCCAGCCCATTTCCCCCTCTCTGCTTCCTCCCCCACCACAAGCTTCTGCCACCATGTTCTGGGACCAGATGACAATGGACTGAACCCTCTGAAACCACAAGCCAGAATAAACCCTCTTCCCTCAAGTTTACGTCAGATGTTTTGTCGCAGCAACACAAAAAGTCTGACATTTCATCTTTAGAGCAGCATGGCAATGAAACAAATGAATCCCTCAGTGTGTGCCAGGCTGTGCTCTAAACATTTTATGACTCGTCTTGTTTCATTCTCACAATAATGCCAGTTTGCAGAGCAGAAACTGAGGCACAAAGAGTTGAGGCATGAACACCCCCACTTTACAAATGAAGAGAAGACCTTGAGAGGCCACCACTTCTGTCACCTTAGAAAATGATGGCAGTGGATGGGGGATTTGAACTTGGATCTTCCTGCTGACTTGACCTCCAGGTTCACCTGTTACTGGGGGGTGGGGGAGGGCAGGGGAGGAGCTAACAGCCAAGTCATGTTTGGGCTGGCCTAGACCTGGCTTCTGACTGCCTCTGAGGGACTCCTGCTCAGCCGTCCCCTCTCCCCCAGGTGTTCTGTGACATGGAGGCCAATGGAGGTGGGTGGACCCTCATCCAGCGCCGTGAGAACGGCAGTGTGAATTTCCAGCGGAACTGGAAGGATTACAAAGAGGTAAGGCTGCTGCCCCAGAGAGGCTGGCACAGGCTGGGGACAGGTAGGGGACAGGTTCACCCTCCCTCCTTCTCACCTAAAACCGAAGACCGTCACACAGATCTGCCCTGTGCACACTCACTTTCCAGGACACCATCCCCGAAATTGAAGCCTCTTTTAGACATTTCTGACATATGTCCTGGAAAGGAAAATTGAGTTGGTTTTTGGTTTAATTTTTTTGTTTTAATTACTTTAAAAATGTTAAAGAATGCAAAGGAACAAACAGAAAACTCTCCTCCACCTATGTCCAACACTGCAGAAATGAATTTGCCTTTTTATACATTTAGGGCCATATCTACAGGACAAATTCTTTCATGTGGACTTTTGGCTCAAAGACCAAGTGTATTTTACAAGATGAGGAATAGCGCCCAATTGTTTTCCAATTTTTTAATTAAATTTTGAGTAAAAGATTTTGGCAAGAGTCTTAAAAGTTCTTAAGGCTTTTGAGAGTAAAAGAAACGAGAAAGGGATTTTCTTATTTCCCACAAGGAAATACAGCAATGCTGCCCTGCGTGTCTGCTCGTTCATTTGGTAAATTCTTAAAAATCAGTACCAAATTAAGTTATCAAATCAATTGAGTTTTAAACAGTCATTAAAATGACAAAGAGAAATAGGGCGCTCAGATCAGGCATGCACAAAAGAGGGCAAAGTGACCCTAGGCTGACCAATGCCACAGTGGAACTGAAATGAGGAGTGGGGCTTAGGTGCGCCCCTGTCCTTGGTGCTGAACTGCTCTGCCAAGAGCATTCGTTTCTTGTCACCAGGGACAATGGTGACAAGACACTCCCAGGGCTCTCAGCTTTATGTTTCTATGTTGCTGAAGTTTTTCAATGGCTGCCCTGGTGCTGTTAGTTTGCCCTACTGTGCACCAACCAGCTCATTAAATTCTTTACTTTTTGATCGAGGTTTACCATCCATGGTCAGTGCACAGATATGAGGTGTGAAGCCAGTGGATTTTCACATGTGTTCACCAAGCACTCCTGAGGCCCCCCTCCCCCCGTGCCCCGTCACAGCCAGTACATTTCCAAAGGTAGTCGCTATTCTGATTTCTGTAGTCACAGGTTAGTTTTGCCTGTTTGTGAACTTTGGAGAAATGTGTTTTCAATTACTCTTAATGAGCTTTTACATTTACAAATGTCTTGGTCTTTTTCCTCTTAGAGGTGGAGACTCCACCCCCCCACACCCACACTGTGCTTGTGAACTTGACCATTCAGCACCGTGGTTTTGGAAAAGTGGCGTGGAGCCTGCCTGGCCCAGCCCAGCCCCTCGTCCAGGAACTTAGCCTTCCTCCTGGGCATGCAGCCAGCCACATTGCCTCCCTCCCTGTAGGGCTTCGGTGACCCGGCTGGAGAGCACTGGCTGGGCAATGAGGTGATGCACCAGCTGACCAGCAGGGCGGCCTACTCTCTGCGTGTGGAGCTGAAAGACTGGGAAGGCCACGAGGCCTACGCCCAGTATGAGCGTTTCCATCTGGGCAGCGAGGGGCAGCTGTACAGGTGGGCGTGGGGCCCAGGCCTGTGGGTGGGCTGGGGTCCCCAGCTAGTGGTTGCAGACTCTGCACCAAGGGTCAGTCCCTGGGCGTCTCCTGTTCCTACCATCTGTCCCCCATTTGGGTGGTTGGTTAGCACTCAGCACATACCGGCCAGTGGGTGGGGTGGAGAGAATGTCACTGATGCCGCCATCCCTAGGGCAGGAAGGGGCCTTCCAAGGTCAATCACCCCAAGTCAGGCCCTATGGAGGCCCAGAAAGGAGGGGGGGTGACTTGCCCAGTCTGGCCTACACCCTGAGGCCATGTAGGAAGGTGTCTGGGCTGGGAGGCAGGAGGCCTGGGCCCTTTTTGTCCCTGCCACAGCTCTCTTGGTGAACTTGGGCACATCCAGGTCACATTTCTCTGGGTCTCTGTTTCTTAGGCATAGGTCTAAGGCTTTTGTCAGATCCTCAAGGTCCCACCCTTTCCTCAGTCTGGTTCTTGGCATACTTAGGAAAATGAGTGAGCCTTTGTTGAGTACCTACTGTGTTCCAGGCATCTCATTTAATTCTCCCCTCAACTCTCTGATGTAGGAATTACTGCTCCTGCTTTAGCAATGTGGAAACTGAATTTAAGTCCCTTGCCCAAAGTGACAAGTTAGGTAGAGTCTAGATTTGAACTCAGGCCTCCTTGCTGCCAAAACTAACCATATCTCCATACCAATGTCATCTCTCTGAGAAACTCACTGATCTTGAGGACAAACTGGGTCCTAGCTGTCTTTGAAACGGGACAGAACGGACTCACAGGCACAGGGCTGCAAAGAGTCACGTGGCAAGTGGCTCTTCACGTGATGCCAGAGTTCCCCACTTACAACCCTCTAGCAATACGGAGGTCGTTCCCTCCTGCGGAATCTTGGAATGCATCTGTCCTCCTGAACTTTCGGCCTTGTGCCATGTCTGGGGACTTCTCCATGGCATGTCCCCATGCTCCCTCCCTATGAGATGCTCTTCTTCCTGCAGCTAGGTGGTTCTGATGTCCCTCTGTATGAGGCTCTGACAGCGCCCCTCCTTGAGGTGTGACTTACAGAGCTAGGCAAAGCATCCCCTGTACCTGGACTAAACAGGGCTGTGCAGTGCCTCCCTACACACTCCTCACAGCTGACCAGTGGTAGCCACACACCCTGCCAGCTGGCCACTGAAGAAAAGGCCTAACTCCCTTCTCCCTTCTCTATGTCTCCCTCCCTCTCTCTCTCTCTCTCTCTCTCTGGGCTACTCTGAGCAAATTCCTCCACCTTCTCATCTGTAAAATGAGTGCCCTACCTCATTCCAAGGGGCAGGTGTGAACGATACCGAAGGCATTAGCTCGGTGCCTGGTGCACATGAATGTTCAGCAGATAGCGTTCCTACCACTATCCCTGAGGCAGCCCCCTTCACTCCCCTGGTCTGCCTGCTGTCTGTGAGCCAGAACCAGGCTGCCTGGTCCCTGTGGTTTTCCCCCCACCTCCCCCAGTGCCTGGTTCAGGGTGAATGCATAAGAGGATGTAGAGGGAGCCTTCCATACACAGAGCAATTAAGTCTCTGTTCCTAAACCCAGTTCTTGGGCAGAACATCTTTGGCTCTAAGTCTAAGCCCTGCCATTTGCCTTGGAGGAGAAATACCTGGAGAAGAAGCTTCTCTTTGCACAAAGGAGTGAGGGCCTGGGAGCCATCTGCCTGGGTCTGAATTCTGACTTCACTTACTAGCTTCCCAGCCTTCTCTGTGCCTCAGTTTCCCCACTGGAAAATGTGGGGAAATGTAGGTAAGGCACCTAGCATATGGTATGTGTTAAGTAAACACCAGGGATAAAAAGGATAAAGGATACATACAAAAGCAGAAATAGCACATTTTGGCCTCTCTCTCTCTCTGTCTCCCTCTCCATATATATTTTTATGTCCACCAGACAAAGTATGCATATGTGTTAAACTTGGAACCTCCTTAATTCCAGCACTCTGGAGATAGGCAGGAGGATCATGAGTTCAAGGCTGCTTGGGTCACACAGTAAATCTCGGTCAGCTTGATCTACATAGCAAGACCCTGTCTTAAAAAAAAAAAATCAAACCCTCTTGCCATGCTGTGTGTGTGACTTGGGTGCTCTCCCTCTGGCTTTGCATCTTAGCCAAGGAGAGCTCCCTGCACATAGCTCCATTGCTATGCCCAGGCCTCAAGGACCACGCTTACTTGACCCTCTCTGGGCCCTGAATACTTGCCCTGTGCCAGGCATGCGCTGGCCATCTGGGAAGGACTCAAACCTGCCCTCCTTCCTGCAGTTACTCATATAGTAGTGTGTGGGAAGGGGACCTTGAGATGCTGTGCACTCAGGGAGGCCTTCAAGAGGAGGGGAGGCCTCAAGAGTAGTGGATGATTGTGCTTCAGACAGAGAGTGGAGAGGAAGGGCACCCCAAGCAACAGGAAGGTTCAGGAAAAAGGCAGAGTTGGCATCCAACTGGTCGTATGTGCCCCAAACCTGAGTAAGTCTCTCACAGGGACAGCCGGGGCACAGAGTGTCTGCTTATGCAGAAAAAGTCTAGGACACTGGTGTTAGGGATCTTGGAAATCACAGGGGGCCTGGAAACTGCCAGAGAAGGGTCAGGGAAAACAGACAGCAGATGCTTGCCCTGGGTCCCACCTCCAGGGTCAACCACTGCTGGGGTGGAAGGGATCCCCACAAGAAAGCTCAGAGGCCACGCCACATGGGCATTTGGCAGCTGGGGAGAGGCCATATTGGTGGGAGGACCCTTATTGGTCAGATGCAGTAGTAGGGACCTTCAGGAGCCCAGTCAGGGTGCATGCAAAAGCTCACAGAGGAAATGGCTACAGGGTGAGGGAAGGTGGAGACCAGATGCAGGCACAGATACCTGGCACACATCTCCCAGAGGTGCCCACACACCAGACCTAAGTACAAGTGCCAGAAACACAGAGATACACAAGTACATGCACAAACACACATGCACTATAGAAGGGGTCCCACACCGCGGGGGTACACACTTGGGCCTACAGAACACACACATGCAAATGCCAAGCTATGCAAATGAGCTCACATACACACAAATATGCATGCAAATGTGCTTTGCAAAACCCTTCACGGGTAAGCACACACAAAACCCCAAGCACAAAGGCAGATTACAGAGCACACACTTAGGCCCACAGCAGACATTCCAGCATGAACTTGACACCAACACACACACACATGCACATCTGCCACAACTACAGCCATGCAGACTCACACACAGGTCCACAGACACATAAGAACCATAGCTCATGTGTTTCACCTGGGATCTGCAAGAGACTCGAGTGTTTGGGTTTCCTTGGGCATGAGCCAGAAGCATGCCTAACATGCATCAAACAGAGAATCAAGTGAGGAGTTTCCAGTTCATGAGGTGGAGGTCCCCAGAGGACACAGATTCCCATTCTGGCTCCCAGGAGGGAGAGGGTGACATCACTGAATCCTTAATGCCACAGGAAAATCCAGAACCCTATGAGTGGGTTGGCATCCTGTGTGTCTCTGCCCCAGGGAGCTTCCAGCCAGACAGGCCTCTGCAAGGGGGTAGGTGGTGCCAGTTTTCAAGCCAGGGTGGCAGGTCTGAGAGCACAATTAGGGCTCCCTAGCTGGTTACAGTCATCTGGACCTGGAGGGCTGTGCCCCTGCCTCACTGATACCCTTGAGTAGAGGTGTGGAGACTGAGTCAGCCACATACACAGGCCCCACACGTCTGTAGGCCCTCCAAGGGCATTCCCAGGCCCTATCCTGGAGGCCAGCACTTCCTTAGACTGCCCTGCTCCCATTCTTAATTGCTCCCAAAACAGTTCCTGATGTAGCTACCTTTGAAGATGTCCCTACACAAGGTCCCCACACTCTCCCCGGCCAGGCTGACCTTGCAAGGGCCAAACAATAACCTGCCCTGAATGTGCTGAGCACTCACCACACTCCTGCACCACTCTGACATCACTCAGTCACCCAGTGAATGAGGTCACATTAATGTCACTGCTGTTCTCATTGGAACAGATAAAGAAACTGAGGCTCAGAGGTCATGCAACCAAGGGGCTGTACTGGAATTTAATTCAGATTCTGCCCACACACACATACTCCACTCATGCCATCTTCATTGTGCAGGCTTGGATGCTCCTAGTAGGGCCACAGGGTCCAGCAAATAAATAGAAGCCTACCCTCCCCCCGTTGGCTGCAAAGGTCACGTCACAGGGCTGGGACTGCACTGGGCATAGATCCATGTTGCTGGCATGATCAAGGGAGGCTTCCTGGAGGAGGAGGGCCTGGAGGATCTGAATGGGGCCGAGGGTTCAGGATGATTGGGGGGCACGTGTAGGCCCCCCAGTCAGGCCACACCCAGCCAGAATCTGGCTCTGACACTTTCTGGTTCTGAGACCACACGCGGGTTCCTTTGACTCTGGGATTCCCATTTCCTCATGTATAAAATGGTGTCATGAGGCTTAAATGAGGTAAGTTAATTCACATAAAACACTTTGAACAATGCCTGGCACATAGTAGGTGCTTGAAAAATGTTAGCCTCGTTGTGAGCATTCTTGCTCCTGCCCAAGACCCAGGTTCAGTGAGATGAAGCCCAGCACACAGTAGGCACTTTGTCCTGGGAGACAGCAGGCAAGGAGGACATTCAGGAAGGAAAGTGTCCTGGGGCCCCTGTATCCCTGAACAACTGGAGGGGACACCTAACCTGGGAGGCCCTTCCTCAACACAGCCCCAGCCTGACTCTGGCCCCTCTCCCATCCCCACCTCTTGGTGGTCTCCAGGCTTTCTCTGAGTGGTTACAGCGGCTCAGCTGGGCGTCAGACCAGCCTGGCCCTGCAGGACACCAACTTCAGCACCAGTGATGCAGACAATGACAACTGCTTCTGCAAGTGTGCCCAGATGATGTCTGGAGGTGAGTGTACATAGCTGGGCTCCACCATACCTCTCTCCAACAGATCCCTTCTTGGTCACACCTCCTCCTAGGGGACCCCGCCAGGTTTTCTCTGAGCCATACTAGAAGAAGGTGGGCTCTGTCAGTTCCCTGTCAGCCCCAATGCCAGGCCCGAGGACTGCCCACTTCCCAGGCCAACTAGGAGCAGAAGCAGGGAAACCAGGGGGAGGCAGAGGAGAGCTCCTCACAACCTCTGCATCAGTCATGCTCCTTGTCAGGAACAGAGGTCAGACAGTTGAGACAGGAAGGAGAGAGACACAGTGAGAGAGACAGAGATAGGGGAAATCACAAAGACAGGGACAGAGGAAAGCAGAGAGAGACACTGAGACTGACAGAGTCATAGGGCCGTGGAGACAGACAGATCTACAGGGACAGAGAAGTCAGAGGGAGAGATGAAAAGAGAAGAGCAGCCGAGGGCAAAGCTGGAAGATGAAGATGGACACACCATGTGAGTGACAGACGAGAGAGAGAGAGAGAGAGAGAGAGAGGGAGAGAGGGAGAGAGAGAGATCTGGAAACCCAAGAGAGTATGGTGGAAGTTCGATGCAGGGGAAAGATGGAAGGCAGTGAGGGAGGGAGACAATGGGGACAGAGAGAAAGCAAGGAAGGGCAGAGGAGCTTAGAGAGGTGGCCAGAGTCCCAGGCTGACCTCCAGTGATGGGGACTCCACCCCTACCCATGCCCAGCCTGCTCCTCTGCAATAAGCTGGCTTTCCATGGAGGCAAAGCCTCTTGAGGTCTTGCCAGGGCCCCATCTCCCCAAAGCCTCTGACCCCCCATCTTCCACCAGGGTGGTGGTTTGACGCCTGTGGCCTCTCCAACCTCAATGGCATCTTCTACCCCGTGGACCAACACATCCGCAAGCTGAACGGGATTCGCTGGCACTACTTTAGCGGTCCCAGCTACTCGCTGCGCGCCACGCGCATGATGATGCGGCCAGTGCCCTGAGGCGCAGGCGTGCCGGAGGCGCGTGTGACCAGGAGCCCAGGACCACCTGGATCCAGCACAGTTTGTCCTTGACACCCTGGGTCACCACAATCCCGGAAGTCATCTGCCTCCCTCCCACCACCCCAGATTTGTAAACTGTTGGGAGTTTGGGTACCCCTCGTTCTTCTCCCTCCTGCCTTCTGCAGGGGCTCCCTGCCATGTGACTGAGAACAGACCAAACTTGGCTCCTTGAAGACACAGGTGGACTGCAGCAAGTGGGAGCATGCTTCAGGCAGGAAGCTGCCCAGAGATAGGCCTGGATTCTGTCCCTTGGCGGCTTCCCTAGCCTTGACTGCCCTTGGACCTTCTTTTCAAGGCTGAAGGGTCTGCCCCGTCCCCTAATGGTAATCATATGTCCCACCACACTCACCACTCCTGGGCTCCAACGTCCAGTGCACAGGACTGGCCTCTCAGGGGATCTAAGAGGGATCCCTGTACTCCTGCATGGCCTAGAGTGTCCCATAGGAAATAACCAGGGCTCCCTCTAAAGTGCCCATGGGCAAGCGGAGGTTAAGTCAAAGGGAACAGGCAGTTCTCAACCACAGGACTTGTCAGAGCCTGTAATGTGGCTGCATGCATTGTATGTCCACGAAGGGGCTAGAATGGGCTGCTTTCTCCAAATTTACTTATTTAAAAACGGGCCCTGTTGAAAATGGTTCACAGAAACCTTTGGAAAAAGTTGATCCTCACCTACCATGAGAGGAGCTCCAGGGTCCCATCCCCCACCCCTAGCTGTACTCACCTGTTTTGGGGGGAGTGGGGCTACAAGGACCACAGTAGACAGGTGGACTGCAGCAGGTGGGAGGATTTACTTAGCAGGTAGACAGGTGGGATGACAGCTTTAAACAGCCTCTAAAAACCACTGGAAGGAACTTTGGGTTAAAATAGACCCAAAAGCAGGGTCTGTTTGCCATCCCCAAAGAAGGATCTAGAGTAAGTCCCTGTCTGTGCTGTGGACCAATGTCCCCAGGGTCCTTCTGGCCCCAGAAAGCCAGATCTCCACCCCTATAGCTGCCCTCAGGATTCCTTGTGACCCCTGCCTACTCATGCTTAAGTTAGGGACTGTTTGGTAGGCCACCAATGCCTGGGTCAGAATCCATCCTGTCTCGAAGTGGAACCCCAGCTCCTCCTCCCTGCCTCAGCCAGTGCTGCAGTGGGGTCCATGGGGAGGAGAAGGGGTCACTGCCTGAGTTTGGGAGCCCAGGGACAACTCATGAGTTTCTCTCAGAGGCTAGAGTTGTGTGTCCACCCATCACAGTATCCCCTCCTCAGAGGTCTCCCAGTCTTGGCTCTGCCCCAGAAGCTGAGCCCCTGCTTAGAGAGGTCCAATACTCAGTTTCCCATCTGTGCAGTAAGGGCACAGAGCACTTGCCAACCTCTAACAGCCCTTCTAACAGTGGAACTGACTCACAATGGCAGCTGACAAAATGATCTTGGGGCTCCCAGAGGCATGGCCTCTCAGGGCCCTGTGGGAGGCATAGCTGGTGTGGCCTTGGGCCAAGGCTGGGTCTCCTGGGGGACACAGCTCACAGGAACTGACTCTAGGACCATAGCATCTGCAGGTTCCTATGCAAATCTTGGTCACCTCTCCCTGAATCAGACCAGTGTTCTCCCCATTTTAAGTGATGGAGAAATCAGAGAGGGAAAGGATTTCATCCAAGGCAGCACAGCACAGTCACCACTTCCAGCACACTTGCATCTGTGAGCTGTCCCCTCTTTGAGAACTTCCTGGAGGCTTCTTGCCACCTACAAAAATGTGGAAGGGTTTCCCCTCTTCTTATCACAGGGCTGAAGGAACTTTCTGGAAAGGCCTTCCAGACCAGTCTGTCTTTCCCACTGGTGCCTGGTAGATCTTGGTGGAGTCAAGACAGGTAGAAAGCATTGTTCCTGAGATCTCTACATGTCCCCAGTAAGGACAATTTCCACACAGGGGCAAGTTCACTGTCATACACCAGAGACAACCATGGGCAAAGTGGAAGGTGATGTGGGGGCAGGGGACAGATGGCCATCGTGGAGATAGTTCATCTCAGTGACTGGTAGATTTGACCCCTTTCTCTGGGTTTTCCTTCACCGCTCCCATTCAAAGATTGATTCTTTGAAAAGCTAGCCATGTTGCCTTGGCAACAGCAGCATCAGCATCTTTTGATGGAGTGCCCTTCAAAGAATGGGGTCTGGTCCAGGCCTCATGGAGGATCCGGCACACAGGGACATCATGAGAGTTGAGTGTGATGCCAGGCCTGGCATGGTCATTCCCACAGGCTTTCATTCCTACAGCTATGCTGCATGGAGGACCTACCTGCACTAAGGCCTGACTGAGTGTGATGGGGTTGGAGCAGTGAGCAAGACAGACATCCAAACCCTGTACTCTCTGAGCTGCACAGGCTTAGGGAGTGACTGGCAAAAAACAGATCAATAAATTAATTAACGTATTGTAAATTAAGACAATAGGCAGAAGGTAGAAATAAGAGAATTACAGAGGGTTCAACTTTGAGTGATCAGGGAAGACCCCTCCCAGAAGGTGATATTTAAATTGAAGATTAAACAGATAAGGAATAGGTAGCCAAGTGAAGAGCTGTGGGAAGAGTCAGCCCACTAGCAGGAACAGCAAGTGCAAAGGCCCTGAGGTGGTCACTAGTTTTGCTAACTTGAGGACCCACAGGGAGATGAGAGTGGCTGGAACCTGGTGATCACAGGGAAGAGTAGAGGAAAAATGTACCTTTGTCAAAGGCTGACCCCCATCCTGATACCCACCAACGGCTGGATCCAGCCACCTTGACCTTGGACAAATTCCTGCCCCTCTCTGACCATCAGTTTCCCACCTGTAAGCTTTAGAGAGAAATTGCCAGTGACTTCGTCAGAAAACCACCCAGATCCCATTGCTGGATTGGTCAGAGTCAGGGGCCTATTATTCCCTGAGCAAGTTGCCAGTGAGGGGGTTAGAATGAGAGAGAGCAGCCAGGCATCGGTGGCTCATTCCTGTAGTTCTGGCTACTTGAGATGCAGGTATCAGGAGGCCTGGGGGAAAATTTAGTGAGACCCTATTCCAGATAAGCCAGGCTAGCACAGAAGGCTTAGGTAGGAGGATTGCAGTCTGAGGCTGACTCAGGCAAAAATGAGAGACTCTGCCTGAAAAATATCCAAAGCAAAAGGGCTGGAGGCATGGCTCAAGTGGTAGCCAAGAGGAGAAGAAGGAGGAGGAGGAGAGAGAAAACATCTGCCTTTCCCTGTGGCTAAATGGAAACAGAGTGACTCCTACATGTGGTCAGCCAGGGAGACTTGACCAAGGTCAGCGCTTCTCCATGCTAACTCGATACACCTTCTCCCTAGATCTCAGCAGGTTCTCTCGTTGCCCCATGTTACAAGTGTGAAACTGAGTCTCAGAGAAGTGCAGTGGCCTCCTTGCATCACAGTGAGTATTCAGACCAAGCTGCTGCAGCAAAAAGATCCCAGAATTGAGTGGGTGAAAAATACATCTCATGTTAACCTGGACCTGAGCAACCATGGCAGTGGGTAGCCATGGCTTTCCTCGTGGGGCAGAAGAGCTGCACCTAGCCTGCCCTCCACACCTACCCTCCCAGCCCAGCCTCATCTTTTGCCTAGAAGATCACATCAGCCTCCTGATGGGGCCCCATCCTAGGCTGGCTCCCTTCTGACCCACAGTTGAGTCACTTCTCCTGCCTAGAGCCCTCAGCAGCTCCCCAGTACCCTGAGAATAAAGTCTAATTTCAGCCGGCAATCGGGACTCTTCATTACCTAGCCACTCGAAAGGTTCTTATGTGGACCAGGAGCAGATGACCATGGCTGGCCTGGAAGAACCATCCATTTCCACTTGACTTTCATGTCCCCTGATGCAGGGCCCAGCCTGCAGCAGCTGCCCCCTGGTTCTGCAGGGAACCAGGTCCAAGTCCTGCTTCTGTCCCTTATAGGGAGAACCCAGAGTCTCTATGGCACCTGAGACAGGGCCTGGGCACTGTCCATTCTCTGAGAAGTCACCTCCTTATAGTTTCCTTGCCAAACACTACCCAGGAACTTCCTTCAGATATCCACAGAAGCCTCAGATGACCCAGACATAGGATAGGTATTATCATCACCCCCTTTTAAAGGTAGCCAAAGTCACATGCAGGGGAGGTGGTTTTGGACTCAGGTGTCTTCTGCAGTGCGTGCTTCATCTCATCTGTGTGCCCAATGATCAAGGTTAAAGGAAGTCATTGCACACATAGCATTTCCAGCTGGCCAATGCTGGAACTCCCCCATGAACCCAAATGCTCACTGTCCCTGCTGAACCCTCCTGGGGGGACTTGGAGCCTAGGTGGGGACAGAACCTTCCTTCCTGCCTCTGATTTCCAGACTGTCCTGCCCTGACCTCAGGACATGGCCACAGGCCAGCACCCCGACTCTCTTCTGAGTAGGGCCTAACTGTCTTCCTTGTCCGCCTCCTGGGGCTCCCCCAAGGATCCTGGTGGAGAGGGCAAGAGCAGCCAAGGTCTTTAACTCTGGTCTGGAAGCCTAGCACCCCTGGTTGGTGAGGTCTCTACCATCAGCCAGTACCTGCCCTTCACACTGATGTCCGAGAGGCTGTCAGGATCAAGCTGCCAGGCCTAGCTGTGACCACAGATCACAGGGGATGGGAAAGTCCCCCTCCCTCTCTAGACCTCACTTTCCTCATCTGTAAAAGGGAAACAGGTGGCACAGCCCCACACACTTCTCAGGGTTGTAGTGAGACTCCAGGAAGATCATTCCTTCCCCTACATACTTGTTGAGAAACTACTATGTGCTAGGAACCCTGCTGGGCACTGGGGACAGAGCCACAGACAAGATGGAATGACCCGGCCCGGGTGGGTGGGAGGAGGCAGAAACCAGACAGAAATTCAGCCAACAACAGAAAAACGCAGTGAGCGTGCTGGGGACAAGAAAGTGCCGCAAGAGTTGGGCTGGCTGAAGCGGAAGAGGGAGGTCTGGGT